AATGACAATGCTGCTTAGAAAACAAACAAAAGCAAATATGTTGTGAGGCCATATTAATGGAAGTATAATGTTCTGAACAAAGGAGGTGATTGTACTGTTGGGCTTAGCACAATCCCTCTGCTTTCTTGCCACCCACCATAGGCACTGATGGAATGGAGGTAGCCTATGCCACCTCAGCAACACCTACCATGTTTGTCCATCCTTCCCTATTTCCATCTCTCTTCTTTTTCAACTCTTCTTTCTTTTCTTTCCATTTTCCTCTTCCTCACCTTTTTGCTTTCCATCTTTCTACTCATCCTCGTCTGCATCCTTTCTTCTCAATTCTCTCTATGCGTCTTAGTCCTCTCACTGCCTTTCTTGTTTCTATCTCACTTCCTCTGTCTTTCTGTCCCTGTCACTCTTCTCTCCCTCTCCATGGGGGCCTGGACACTTTGCACCTGGTCCTGGGGGATGGATGGACGGGATCCAGGTTACAGGATCCTGATGGGGAAGAGATGGCTGAGAGGAGGTTGAGTTGGTGAGGGGTAGGGAGAGGCCTCTTTGTCAACACTCTCTCACGCACATGCACACCTCTGAAGAATCTAGTTCCAGTGTGTGGGCACTGGCCCATTACACCATCACTACACCCCCAACTCTGAGTGCAATGGCTGAAAATTCACTGTGTCCCCTGTGCCCACGGGGCTGGCAGCTGTGCCCGGCGGTAGCGGGCAGCAAGGATTCAGCCGTGCCTCCGTGGTGCTGAGAGAATGAGCAGATGATTGCATCAAAGTGATTGTTCCTGCCAGACTCCCTGCTCCTCAGGGCCAGGGCAGGCACGCACTCCTGCACATGTGACCCATCTAGAACACACGTGTGGTACATAAGGGCAGGCCTGCGTGCCATGGCCAGTGGCCCAGGTTGGGAGCCCTGGAGCCCGATGAACAGGGCTCTGACATGCCAGCGCAAGAACCAGCATGTGTATGCAGGCTGTATGCCATGGAGATGGCAATCAAAGGGCTCCAGGCGACTTCCTGGACCCCATGGAGGTGGGTGGGGTGGGTGACTGCAGACTCAAATCCCAGTTCCACTCCTCACATTTGTTCTCACATGCATCCACATGCACACTGATGCACAAATGCACACCCACGCTCACCTGCTCATATGTGCTTCCATGCATGGACCCAAGTGCTCAGGGTTGTCCAGGGCTCCGCAGATACCACAGAAAGTGGGTGATCTGAAAGGCCCCCATGGGGCCTGTCCCACTAAGAGCTGCAGGCAAGGGGCAGAATGGGTGGAAAGTGGGCCAGGAGAGAAAGGATCCTGCAGAGGGTCTGGGCACAGGGTCGTTTGACAGATGACTCAACAAGTAAAGACAGGCCTGTATTCAGAAGGGAGGGCAGAAGGTCAGAGGTCAGGGAGGACAGCACTGTGCCCAGATGTGTCCCCCATAAGAAGCACACACTTACAAGGAACTGAGGGACAGAGACAATGCCAGTGGCCCAGGTTGGGAGTCTAACAGCCGCACAGAATGACTTGCAGTGAGAGGACTCAAGTTCAAGTACTGCTGTTGGCTTTTAGCCCTAGGGTAGGTCTTCTCCCTGTTGGAGCCTCCACATCTTCCTGAGAAACATGTGAATAAAATGTTTGCTCACTGCCTGCATGGACATGAAAAATAGTTATTCCCACTGGGGAGTCTGTCCCTGTGCTGAACACTTTACACATTGCACGATTTAAACCTCACAACAAATGTCTGTTTAGATAGGAGCGCTTCTTGCTCATTTTGCAGAGATGTGACATGGTTTGCCCAGCCAAGGCCATCCAGCTGCAGCTTATGGGGAGGTCTGTGTGATTCTGTCTCCCCAGCCTCTGTCATTTGGCCTGTGGCACTCTACGATAAGCACTGACCTGCTAACCGTAAGGTTGACAGTTTGAACCCACCAGTCATTCCTTGGAAACCCTATACAGGGTCACTATGAGTCAGAACTGACTTGGTGGTAACTTAACAACAACAGGGCTGGGAGGGTCCTGAGACAGCCCGTGCCCCTTACAGACAGGGGGGGTGTCGAGGCCTAGAGAGGGGGCATGGTGTTGCTGCAGTTGTGTAAATCAGAGGCAGAGTTGAGACGACAGTCTGAACTCCAGGCTCCCAGAGCTCTTTCTTCCATATCCAGCTCTGCCTCCCTCTTCCTGGCATTAACACGCCTGATTGTCTAGGTCTCAGAGGAGTCAGCAGGACCCAAGCCAGGTGGAAACAGTGCTAAAATCTTGGGTGGAGTTCAGAGTTCTGTCCCTCCAGCGATTCTGGGACACTCTCAACTTCTTGGAGGACTGGTCATCACAGACAAGGCTGCTTGCTAACTCTAGCCCCTTTGGTTGGAAGATCTGTTGCCATCAGGGGTTAGGGCAACCAAGGGCGAAGTAGGGTGTTTCACCAGATGTTTCTGCACTCCACCTCCCAGATCTGTGGCCTGTGGGGACAGGGCTGCCTCTGGTCTCCCTTCTGTCTGAACCCCCTCTACCACAGTGGTACAAGAGTCCAGACACAGGCCCCCTGGCTGGAGGGTCTCAGGGAGCACTGGAGCAGGAAGGGCAGGTCAGAGCCACACTGACTGCTGGGCAGGCTACTTCTCATCACAATGCCCGAGGTCTGCTCTCCCTTTATCCCAAGGTCCCCCACAATCTCAGGCCCTGGCTACCTACCAGCCTCCCCCCTCTTAGCAGGTTTGAAGATGCTGAGCTCTGGACTAAGTTCCTGGTTTCAACTTGAATGGGGCTCCTGCAAGGTGCTGGCCTCTGAGTTAGGTAGGCGTGCGCTAGGCGTGGATCAAGGCCTGGGCCAAGCTTCCTTCCAGGGCAGCAGAAGCAGGTACCAGACCCCATTCCCAGCTGGGCTTTCTTAGTTGGCCTCAGGGAGTAGGTCTCGGTGCCTGGCAGGGAGCAGAAAGGGCCTTCTATGGCCCTGCATTTGTGGCCGCAAAGGGCAGGGGTCCCAGGAAGAGTATGTGGAGCTGGAACTAGTAGGTGGGCCAGGTCACCTCAGGCAGTGTTGACCCTGAGCAGGCACAGATGTCACAGGAGCGTTCTGGCCACTCTGCAGAGCTCTGTCCACATGGCTGGGACCCATAACCAGCAAAGCGAGAGTAGCCTGTGCCATGGGGTACATTGCCCTGGTACATTATCTCAGTAGGCCACTTCTTCAAAGCTGCCCTCTTGAGCAGGCAGAAATGCTGGGGTCGCTGGAATCCAGAGGCCTCAGACAATCCTGGACTCTGTCCCACCACAACCCGGACAATGAGGTCCTGGAGCCAGAGAGAGGTTCCTAGTGGGGAGGAAATAAGTACTAGGAAGAAGGGGCCTGGGGTAGGGAGGGTCCCCTCCACCCTGCATCCCAGGCCAAACCCTCACAGTAAATCTCAGCTCCCTCTGCAGCTGGGATGCAGCTCTGTAACCTAAACCCGAGCCTGCCCTCCACCCTACTGCAACCCACCCCATCCCACC